TTATCTGAAACCCAAGTCATCTGCTGAGGTTGAGGGCATCTGCTAAGGGTGTGGGGCACTGACTTAGCACAGCCTCAGGGCTCTTGGGAGGATGGCAGGTGTCACAAGAGATAAGGGTGAGGAGGCAAGCTGCTGGAGGTGGCCTTGGAGACCAGCTTCTGCTTCCACCCTCTCCTCCTTCCCTGGACTGGAACCTTTGTCCCTGCTGCTCCCTGGGGTTTCCAGGGATTCAGGCCCTAGAAGGGTCCAGCCCTCTGCCTCCAGGGTCTGAACAGCCCCTGCAGATGGCTACAAGGCTTGTAGGGGTGAAGCTGTGCTATGGAGCTGTTCCTCCACCCTTCCCTCCCCAGCAGCTGAGCTGACTTTGGCTCACTAGCATTGGTATTTAAAAGACTTTCAGATGTGTGTGGTCCCTATAAAAATAAATCTCCAAAGGAAACAAATGTTATGTGATGAAAGCCTGCCAAGTCCTGGTCGCTTATTAGCTCACAGTATTATGGAGGAGAGATTTAACTCTATAGTCTGATATAGGATAATTCTTTGATGAACTGTCAGATCTCTTGAAGATTCAGGTTTAAAGCTTGTTGCTCTACAGGGTCAAGACTGAGCCACTGGCTTTATGGGCTTTCAGTTTCGAGTGCCTTGCAGGGCTCTGCCAAATGTGTCAATAGCAATTTGTCCTTTCAGAGGGTTTTGGTGTGAAGTTCACATCAAGCAAAGCTTTGAAAGCAGTCATCAGGGGTGACCTTTTTCAAAACTGTCCAGAAGAACAGAGGATAAACCATGAAGTATAATTAAACATGTGCATCTCAATAGACTGACTTGAAAATGTTGATCCAAGATTTCCTTCAAAAGCAATGATCACTGGATTTAAGTTTGTCCAGAATGCTCCCAGAACTGTGGTGCAGCCAGACCTCAGGTACTTATCACCCTGCCCTACATCCTGATCAGAGAACATGCTGTGCATACCTCTCCCAGATGCAATTTTTTGTAGCAGTCAGGATGATGTATAGCTAAGGAACTGGGTGTTGACAGAGGGAACATAAGACTGCAACTCCTAATGCTGCTAGAAACTGGAATTCCTAGGTGTTTGTGAAGAAGTTAGCACAAAAGTCACCAAATCCCTTCTACCTGCAGTCTGTCCCTTCCCAAAGCATCACGGTTGCCCAGCAATGTCAACAAACATGTCTTTATACAGATTTAGTTACAGAGGCAAAAGTCTGAATGTTAACTTCCCAGAGGAAAGATGATTCACCTGATTTAAAGCAGATAATTTAATCTGAAGAGCTAAAATTATCTTTCCTTTTTAGCTAGATGATATTATTGATGGGAAGAAGAATTTTCCTTCCAATTCTCCGTCACTCCTGCTGCCTAAAATGGTTTAGATTATGTTGTCTCTAGGGGGGAGTCTCTTCTGATGGGAATAGGTTTTGACTAGCATTAACTCCTTAAGGCCAGTGAAGAAGCTCTGGTGCCTGACCAACAGAAATGGAGTCAGGAGCCTTTGTGTTCCTCAAGACAGAGCTGTTTATTTCTGTGACTTACTGCAGAGCTCAGCTGGGGTCTGTAGTGTGAGGTGATCCTGTTCTCACTTGAAGAGAAGCAAATATGGTGTGATTCCACTGAGAACATGTGACATCAGTCTGGCTCCAGGGCTCTTCACCTCCAGTGATGCTCTGGCTGCTGAGATCCTTCTTGTCTCATGGCAGGATTAAAGGAGGACAACTGAACTGAGGGTGGTTGGGCACCTTTTACGAGTAATTTGAGGTTTTACTGAAGATGAGTGTTACCATCATTGGCTACAGAAACCTTATCCTCCAGTCAGGAATAAATTCCAGGTCTCTTGCTGGAGGATTTCTGCTTTTAAAAGGAAGTGCCTATGCTCCAAAAAGCTCCCGGCGATGTCCTGAGCAGAGATATCTGTGCAGACATACTTCATCTTCTCACCAGTGGGTATGGTCTCAGATGTGGAGAGAAGTCAGGAGCCATCTGTTAATGCTGTTTGAGACCTTTTGCTGTCCTCAGAACTCTCTGTAAGAGTCAAAGTTGGGAGGTGAACGAGGTGCTGTATAAATCCACTGCCTGCATGGGTTTGCATCATCCTGTCAGGTTACCCTGGGGTAGTATCCAGATCCCTCGACATCACCCCAGTCTGCCCCTTCTCCATAAAAGCTCTGTGCACCACTGAAGACTGAGTTTGATTTCTTTTTCCCTATTCTTGCTGTTACTGTACTTAGCCCATGCACAATGATTTGTCTTTGGCACATGTTTGAAGTATGAATAAATTCATATTTAGAGCAGTGCTGTGGCACAGGGAAGAATTGTTAATCCAGGACAGATTAAGCACATGGTGATGAATGGCCAAGTATTATCTGATTTGGAATGAGATTTAATGGGAAGGAGAAGGCTTAAAATCCCACCTCCCTCTTGCATCTATATGCAGAGACCTACTGAAAAATGGCTTTAGTGGAGGGTGGATGGGAGCCTTTGAGCAAAAGGATGGCTTCAGGGAATAAAAAACTTTTTACAAGTGTCATGTGTGAGAGTTGCTGGCAAACAAAGACGAGCTTTCAGTGAGCTGTGTCAGTGTTGCCTGGGCTATCGTGTACAGGGCAGACAAAGCTGGACTAAATACTAACTTTTTCTGGGTAAATGTGATACTGCTGCAATGTGCCAAAATGACAAAATCTGATGTTTTCATTCAAAACAGACACAGTGTTGTTAGGAAAGATTTCCTTCTGCAGATGGGAAGACCCTCCCATTTCCAAATCCTGTTCTTTTGGAAAACAAAGTGGGACCAGCACCAGTGGGCTGAGGAGTGGGGTTAGTGGAGCTGCTCTGGTACCTGCAGGACAGAACTCTCCACCCAGAAAGCAGGTGAAGGATTTCCCTGTCAAAGTGGAAGAGCCTGGTTCAATTTGGTAACAGCTGAGTCCTGCAGTGGAATTGGAAAGTGAACTTCTCTTAGTTTGGGATATGAGCCAAGCTGAATCTGCTGGTCTGAGCTGGTGTTGAATGACTCCATCCTGAGCCCCTCGGGATCTGAATGAACTGGGAATCAGAGCTCTGCCTTTGGCTTGTGTCCAGTGTTAATGGAGAAAAATTATTCAGGGGCACCACATGCAGAAACCACCAAGTGAATTCTGCCTTTCTGCTTGCCAGTGTAAACCATGAGCACTGTGCAAAACCAGTACAGGAGCAGGACTGTGCCCAGTTCCACTGGGCAACAGTTTGCTTAGTTGCTTTCCTGAGGTGCAGGAGCCTTGTGCCAGGATTGTAGCCATCACCTCCCTGTACTGGTAATCCTACCATACTGGTGCATTGCTCCAGTTATGATTTTTTATTATTATTATTTTTTTCAGTGGGGCCAGGTGCTTTCTTGGTGAAGCCAGAGCCAAGGGGAAATTTGCATCTTTCAGAACACCCCCCCAGAACTTGCCCATTTAAGCTTTTTGTTTAGCCATCTATTAACATATCCATAGCTGGAATGAACACACCCTTTTTTTCCTGAATAACAGAGAACAGTACCAGCAAACGGCTGATGACGAGAGGAAAAACCACCGAGGCAAAGTTACCGTGAAGGACTCGAACAAGGCACTAGGACCTAGGAGGCGTCTCATCCACCCTGGCAGGAATTTCTTGCTTGGAGCTCAGACAACAAAGGCAGAGTGAGCCTGGTTTTCTTTCTCTCAGCATCTCCACCCTGCGCGCTGAAAACCGGTGAGTAGAGCTTTTTTTTTGAGTGACTTGCATGCAGAAAAGTAACAGATGTCAGACAGAAAGGAGGAATCTTTCTCTTAGTACCTTACAGCATCTGCAGTGCGTTTTAAAATCAAACCTCCTGCATCCTCGGGTTCATTCCCGAAGTTGCCTGGATGTTTCATTGTTCAGTGTGTGGCACCAGACTGGATCTACCCCAACCGGCATCGCGGGGAAGAGGTTCCCAGCTTGGGGGTTCTCTGCAGATCACCTACATTGTCATCTTCTGCTTCACTGCAGACTGGGAACAATGATTTTCCTCGCACCGGTCACGCTGACATTGTAAAACACAGCGAAGCAGCTTCGTTCTGGGAAATGTGAGGGTGGGGAAGAGATAGCAACAGCTTTTCCTGGCTTTCTACCTGGCTGCCGAGCGCTGGTGTAACCCCCCTCTCTGCCCGGGGTTAACATGCGGGCAGCATACGGGAGCTGCACGTTCCCGGCTGTGCTGGGGGAGTGGAAGGGTCTTTCTGTTGCAGGCTTGGGGGTTCCTCCTCCTTTTGTGTTGGGGTTTGGTGCAGGAGGACGGTTGTTCTTGAGCATAAACTAGAGACTGTGCAGAAATTCCTGCTTGCTGGGTGTCAGCTCAAGTCTCGGCTTTTCCGTGCTAGTGGCTTGCGCTGGGAGCCCCCCCCCTTTGCTCAGAACAATGAAAGGTGAGCTAGCAGGGGCGGCGTGTCCCTTGGGAAGGGGCATTTCCAGCAATTAAGTCACTTAAGGCTGGAAGGGGGTGGAAAAAGCCCCTTTATTTTCTCCTCCCTATTAAACGGCAGCAGCAATGCAATTCAGAGGAGACTCCGGCTGAAAAGAGCTCAGCGAAGCCTTGTTTCAATGACAGATTTTTCTCTCCAGTCATTTCTTCTTAGAGATGTAGGCTGGTCCTGGGAATTGATTGATGGGCTAGGAGGGGGCTGCGGATAGGGGGAAGGGTGGGCTGGATCTCATTGCTAACCCTTATTGAACAGGCTGTCACAAAGAAACTGCTTATTCCCCTGTGACCATTCTTTCATAAATGCCAGTTTATTCTAATGTTAAACATTCAGATGCTCTGGTTCCTTCCGTGATTCGACAGATTGAAGGGCTGACTTACTGGGATCTCCTTGTTTCCTGTTGCCAAAGGAAACCTCACACGGCTCAGAGGTTTAATTCATTACCAACTGGTGTTTGGATGAGTGTTTTGGGGCCGAGCTGTGCCTGCCATGGATCCCTTTGGCCCCGAGTCCCAATTTATTGCACTTTGAAAACTCCCAGGTGCAGGAGCAGACAGCTCTCCAGAAACACGCTCCCTGCCCCCAGCAGTTGGATCCCTTTCAAACGGCGAGGACCCCTCCTAGGCTCAGCCCCCAGAATCGATACAAATCTGGGTCAGGGGAGGGGGCTCTTCCCAAATACAGCTGTCCTGCTCCAGCCGCAGCTCGGGCGTTACGCTCCTTTTCCTCTCCGGGTTGTGGCTCTAACCGCTCCCTCTCCCCTCCTTCTCTCCCCATCTCCTTCCCGCTCAGCTTCAGATCTTTAGGGACCTCCAAACTATGGAACTTGATTTTGGACACTTTGACGAAAGAGACAAGGCGTCCAGAAACATGCGAGGCTCCCGGATGAACGGCTTGCCCAGCCCCACGCACAGCGCTCACTGCAGCTTCTACAGAACCAGGACCTTGCAGGCGCTGAGCAACGAGAAGAAAGCCAAGAAGGTGCGTTTCTATCGCAACGGGGACCGCTACTTCAAGGGGATTGTGTACGCCGTGTCCTCCGACCGCTTCCGGAGTTTCGATGCTCTGCTGGCCGACCTGACCCGCTCCCTCTCCGACAACATCAACCTGCCTCAGGGAGTGCGCTACATTTACACCATCGATGGGGCGCGGAAGATCGGGAGCATGGACGAGCTGGAGGAAGGTAAGGAGCGCGGCTGGCTGGTGCAGTGGGGAGGCGGGGCGGGAGGGGAAGGGAAGGGAAGGGGCTGCACCACTCGGCTCTGCCGCCGGGGTCACGTCTCCTCGGCCGCCGGGGCGCTTCT